ATCGTATAACTCAAATTAAAGTCATCCCAATTCAGAATCACTACCTTGGATGGGAATTTTGTAAATTAATTTGTGAAATTCAAGTTTTAGAGTTATAATTAAGGCAAGAATTAGAGTTTTTAATAATATCTAGTATTAATAATAAATGGATAGTATGAGCTAAAATTACAAAATTTTCATCTGAGACTATCCCAATCCTGAATGGAGATGATTCTCAACTAGATGCATTATGTTTAGCAACTAGTGCTTATGAAGATCTAGTCAAAATTATTATCTATTCTAAATTTTGCAAAGATGATGTATGCGTAGGTAGAGGTATAGATTACCTTTACTTACAGTATGTCAACATGATATACCTATTTGTTCTCAAAAAGTACTTTCTGTACTTACATCTTCAAAGAAGACATTTACAATATCTCTATTAACATATTTGGAGTATATAGTAAATAATCTGACAATTGCGCCAAAATTATACTTTGGACTAGGAGTAAATATAAGTAAAAAATGTGAATTCTGGCACGAAAGCCTCTGGCAAGAGTCTCCACTTTTTGAATCACATGAGATAAGAAGCAATAGTAGAGATTAGTCTATAAGATTTAATAAATTACATATTTATAAAATGCACCTATGATACTTTATATCTATATATATATTATTCCAAAATTGGCTAATTCATTGGTATATACAGTAGCACTTTAAGTAAAAAATATTCTGCAGCTTTTAAAAATCTTTAAAAATATATAAAGGATACAAAAATTACTATAGGTGTATTTTATAATAAATATTTTCACATATTAGAGATTAATTTTAAAATTTTTATTTTTTTTTTGAATTAGTAATATGATAATTAAAATTGTGAATTTTATATTACTATAGCAAATATGCAGAATTTTTAGAATTTACAATTTTTAATTATCATGTTACTAATTTCAGAAGCAATGATAAATAACTTGTAATAATTAGAAATATATAGCACAGGTGATTTCTTTTTATACCAAGAACTATCTATGAAATTTATATACCGCATACATGGTATAGTAAACAATAAAATAGATAGCTCTTGTGTATTAAAAATTGACCGACTATTGCAATACCAGAATCTTCCTAATTGTCAATTTAATAGTCTCTGACATACTCGAGAAGATAATAAAGAATTATGGCTTGTTGAAGGTGATTCTGTATTTGTTGATTTCAAAAATATTTTTCAACATGTCAATGTGTAGTTTTTAGATTTACCAGAACTAGACAACTATAATTTTTATGTTCAAAAAGTTGTATACCATTTTAATGGTGTTGGAAGTAGCGTAATATTTCAACAAGATATAGATTACTTTGTGAATCAGTTATATTTAAAACACCACCACAACCTATATCTGTATATAAAGTGTTTCTTGATATATACATCGATGATTTTGGAACATATAGAAATGTTTATCACTTGTTGGGAGGAATATATTTACAATTTGGGAATATGTCTCTGTCTTTAAGAAAACACTTAAAAACAATTTTCTGATCAGACTAGTCCTATTTGGTGCTAACCTTAATGATGTTATTTAGCCAATACTTAAAGATATCCAATATTTAGAAAATAGATTTTTAATGCAAACATTATATAGGAACATATGGGTTGTTAGTGATCTTAGATGCGTTACTACAGATCTGCCTCAAGACAATAATCTTGCTAGTATTAAATACTATAATACTATTCATAGTTGTAGATCATGCAATATTTCTTATAATCACCTTACAGATCTAAACTATAATTATATAGAAAATGCCCGTTCTTACTACCAAACTAAAAAATGATTATTGAAAATTGAATATCAACAAACACAAATAGAAAAAGAACAGCTAGCTACTAAATATGGGTTAATAACTTCTCTGGGACCTTTTAGTATCCTTCAATGGGATCAACATATATAGTCCCACAAAACATATATCATTCTATGGCGGAAAGGCTCAGACTTTGCTGGATACTATACTTGATATACTAAATACTGATAGCGAAAAGGCCTTTATAGAATATTGGAAAACCATTGAAAAATCTAGTGGTTGGGCAGAATGTCTAATCCAATAAGGCATCATTAAAGTTTTATGTTTTTCGATGTTCTAAGACTCTCAATGCTGATGCTATTTATACTTAGACGTCTTTTAAACTCTAAAACAGAGATTTCAAAAAAATTGCCAAGAAAACAAATTAAGCAACTTTGTGGTCTTTGGGCCATTGAGGCTAAAGTTCTTAAGCTTGCATTTTTAACAACCATAACAGAAATCACCTATAAAGAATTACAAGAATCACTAAGAAAAGAGCATAAGATGCTTATTCAGATTAGTTTTTATATATATAGAAAGCACTAATATATGCGCAAATTTAAATCTATAATTGAACCTAGCTGCCACACCAATTTTTCACAGATAATTCTAGATTTTGATTGGCTAAGAGCAACTATCAAAAATTTAGGCCGAAGTTACTCAAAATTTTACTAATGAAACCACAGCTACACATTAAATAAAAAATATTCCTGGGCTGATTTTATTATAGTATGAGCCTATTTCTCTAAAAATTTCTATTTTAGAAATGAAAAAGTTAAAAAGTTAATTCTAGCCAAAATTATGTAATGCAGGCTTAATCAGTGAAAAATTGGTGTAGCAGTTAGATTCAATCTATCAATGTATTGTACGGATCCTTGCAGCTATAAGAGTACTATGTAGCAAAGTTAATTGCTAGTGCCACAATGTATAATTACCTATAATAATTTGTTAATCTATTTAATTTTTACTAAACAGATATTTCCAAAATATTTTACGAACCAACCTAACTTGCATGTAAATATTCATCTGTTGCAAAATATGCAAAATTTCGCAATATTAACAAACACCGCTGTTGGTATTAAAGAAATGGTTCATTGTGTATTTAAGGGCATAGTTTCACATACTAATCAAAAAATCATTGAGCTCGAACTTACACAGCAGTATAATATAGTAGAAGCATTAAGACTTATTATCGATGATTGGAAGGATCTCAGGTTTAGTATCGATACTAACATATTTGCTGATCTTACCAAGAATCTGCATCTTTATAGACTTTTTTCTAACTAGTATGCAATTGAAAGCCCTTTTCTGAATGAATAAAATGATAGTTATGGTAATTAAATTTAGTTTTTACTATATAATCTTAAAATAATTAGTGAGTCTGTTATATAGCAGAAATAGTGCGATTAATCACTGATTAAATTATTTATATTGAATTAATTGTGATAGATATAATGTCTAACCAGTTTTGATATACAGTATGTATAATATTAATAGTGTCTCTATAATTCTGTTGCTCCATAAACTGAATTGTAAGTAATTTTATTATAATTTGTATATTGCCATTTTAATCAATCATTAAATTTAATAGTTTTTACTGCTATACCTATGAATATTATATTCCAGATCAAGTAAACCACAATAAGAATAATGCAAATGCCAAAAGACAGGTTTATTAATGCAAAGCGTGTATATTATTTAAATATTATTATAAAAAAATATAATTCAAAAACTTACATATTTATGAATATTTAGCAGAACATAATTGGAAAAGTTCGCAATAATCAAGAATAAAAAAAACTAAGATATCTTAAAATGATCGGCATATGTACAAGGCATTTATGTATAAACAGAGATGAAATTACGAGAATAGATCATCCAATTAAACGCAAAAGAGATACTCCACTTAACTTGCTTGTAAACCATACACTACGTACTTTGTACTCCGTTCCTGGTATAAATACTTGTTCTAGTACCGATACAAAAATTTTATAAACATTACTTACATATAATGTACTTTGTAATCCAAACATACAATGCAGAAGATGTAAATTTCGGAAAGTATGGTCTGTACTCTCTATCGAAACCTTCAAATTCAGTAGATTTTTCTTATAAAATTTCATTATTTACTGAGTCTTCCTCAATGTCATCGATTAATGGCTCATCATCAATAGTATCGGTAAAGTACATATTGAAATTAACATATTCTAATTCTTTTAAAACAATGCAAAACAAAAAATCATGCATAAAATTTTATAACTGAATATTTAAAAGTTATAAACAATAGACCAAAAAAAATGAAATGTAAAAAATCCTAACCTTATCTGCCATTGTTTTAGTTTTTTGATTTCTAGTTTCTTTAATTTCGCCTTCATAATTATTGTCGATTTCTTCAATTTTTTTATCAACTTTGTCAATTTCTTCAATTTGCTCTAGTTCATCAGCGTTATCATCAATTTCAATATCATCAGTTTCTTTAGAAAATTCCACATTTACCAAATTCATTATATTTATTTCTTGCGATTTTTTTTGAACAAACGAATTCTCCTTAGGTCATTTTTTGCGTAACTTTGGAACATCAAGATAGTAAGAAGGATTGGAAGTTCTGCTTGATCATTTCATAGAATAGACTAAGTAAAACTGGTAGTTTTTTTTATAATTATTTGTTAAAAATTTATCTCAAAAATAAAAAGTATATACGAATATAAGTGACATAATTTAATTAGCTAGAAGTAATTTATATATAATAATATTTTAAAAGATGATGTATAATATTATTGCAATATGCTAATATGATTAATAGGGTATATATACATTATTTTTTGCAAGAAATTTTTTCGTTACTAAATTACTATAGCATCTCAAAAGAAATCAACAAGTAAATTAATCTTTTTAAAATTTCTTTTAGAAGTTCTTTATTAAATATAATGAAAAAAATTTTTTTACAGAAGTAACTGCTAAAAAAGCAACTGCTAAAAAAACAACTCCTGTTAAAAAAACAACACCTATTAGAAAAGCAACATCTGTTAAAAAGATAACCCCAGTTAGAAAAGCAGTCTCGGTTAGAAAAGTATCTCCAAGTAAAATTTGGAGACATTCTTCTATTAGTATGTTTATTCTTTTATTATATTCTTATTAATATCATTGCAAGTGAGTATAAAATATATATATGCTATTTGATTTATAATAATGTTTTTAATATCACTAGATATTAGTTCTGAAACGAATGTTAAAGAACAACGAATTGAAAATCAAATTGAAGTAATTATGGTCGATTAAGAGGATAATTTAAGGGAAAACGATTTAAAGAAGAACGATTTAAAGAAGAACGATTTAAAGAAGAATGATTTAAGAGAGAATGATTTAAGGGAGGACAATTTAAAGGAGGATGGTTTAAAGAAGAATGGTTTAAGGAAGAATAGTTTAGAAGAAGATAATAGTTATGCAAAGGCACCAGGTATGTATTAAATAATGTGTGATTTAGGTAATTTCTTAAATATAATCTAATGTTTTAGTTATATTTAGTTTTAAACGGTTTAGATTATTCTTTCAATAATGGTATGCTTTTTATATTAAATGATTATATATAGATCAAATTTGAATATACTAGATGAACTTATAATATATCTTATTTGTTGTGTAGTTTATAATGTTGATAAAGTATTAGCAAGCAAAGAGACTCTACATACAGCAATATCTTCAAAATCTACAGTAGAAAGCACTGTGGTGGTCTATCTTCACTTTCATCTATAGATGAGAATTCAACAAGTATAAAAATTGTAACTTCAACCGAAATATCACATAAGGGTAAGAATTGTTTGTTTTAATATAACACGATCTAAAGCTATATGTTAATAACTTTGCAATATTCTGATAGACAATGAAAATGATTTTGAAAGATATAATTTTCCTCAAGAAACTTTTATAATACTTTATAATTCATCTAATGAGTTCGAAGCTGCTAAGTGAGTAGCTTTTCATCCTGATGTTTAAAGTTAGCCATCATTATACATAATGCGAGGAAAAATAAATTAAAAGACAGTGATGAAATATTCTCTAATACTACTGAAATATCCTCTAATACTACTGAAATATCCTCAAATACTACTAATTCATATGATTTTATAAATCTTCTAGAAATTCATAAAGTAAATCTTTATATATTTCAATAATTATTATATCTGTAAACTTATAGTATATTTTAATATTAGAGAATAAAATATTCACTACAAGAAGAATGCAAAGTTCTTTTCTTATAAACAAGGAACAATAATAAAGAACTATATGAAGAGCTGGCTATAAAAGTTTGCAATATCAAGAAAAGTGATCATTGAATGGCAACGTTAACTAAAGATATGGCTAGTTGGTTTGATGTTTATTGTTATAAATTGCATGTTGCTATTTTAAACCTTGCAGTTGAATTTTCTGAAACACATGAAATGTAAGTATTTAAATAGTAGTTACATATATTATCTGAAATTTAAACAAAACATTTAAAAAATAATATTATCATATTTACTCAAAATAATTTCCCAGGGCATTATCTAGTGGTATGCAAATTGAAGAGAGCTAATAGCTAAATTATCCTTCAAATTGCATACCTCTAAATAATGCCCTGGAGAATTATTTTGGGTGAATATAGTATTAATTAATTTTTAGAGAAGGGGAGCCATCAATTAGTGAGTTATCTGAATTCATAAGTGAAGATGTCTGGAAGAAAGTACTCCAACTGCATTTGAAAGCCACCGATTATCCAGTTCTGAAAAATGATCCTGTGATGTTTACAAAGCTTGGCACTTTTGTATATCAAGCAGTTAAGAAAGTTCTTGTTGTGATTAATAGCGAACAAAATACTAGAAATACAATTAGGAAATATGACGAAATTACTTTAGATTTATGAATTCCCTCTAAACTTAGAATAGTTAAACTTTACCTGTTAGAAAGCTTTTAACTTTTTAAATCAAACTTGTGCTTTTTTTGCAAGTAAAATAGCTAATGTTGCATAAACATAGATATTCAGTTAGTTAGAAGTGATTATATTCTGGCATTTGTAAGATCAAACTATCTGCGCATCTAGATTTGTCAATAAATACAGAAGTAGAGCTGTAGTTTGTGCTTATTAGTGAGTTATTTTGTTATGTTTTTTTTATTTTATTTTTATTGGGTTTGTTTCAATCATGAGTTAGATGTATCTCAATTTTTCTGCTTAGCATTTTTGATCTTGTTGTTGCTGGGGAAATCTATCCTGAAATTTTAGTCTAATTGTTATCAAAATCTTCTTAGAGTATTTATAGAAATATTAGAATTCTTGATTAATTTTTTTTGAGTTTTCGATTTAGATTTATAGATTACTTTACACATTTCTATGTGGTCATAGCAGACTTTTTAATGGAGCTTTATCTTCTCAAAGTATGCTGCTAACATGACATATTTGACACAAGGTTGATTAATAATTGATTTATTAAAAAAAGTGAGATAGGGGAAGTTGTCATGTTGAATTTGTAACTAGAGACTCACAAAACAAATAGTATTGAATATAAGTTATTTTATATAGTATTATCAACTGTAATTAAAAAAATTATTTAAAAACAGTAAATGAATATTGTGGCTAATTTCTATTACTTATATTTTTGATAGTAATTTAAACAAAATCTATTAGTTAAAAGCAAATATTCATTATCTTGGATTCCTTATAATAAATTTAAAAATATTGAAACAATAAGAAAAGGTGTATTTGTGACAGTAAATAGGAAATACGAAGTCTTGAACAGCCTGTTGCAATTAAATTGCTTCATAATTCAATGAGTATCATGAAGAATTTTAAAAGAGGTAATTTCATTTATGTGCTAATATGCTCAAAATTTTTTCTTTATTTGTTTTAAGATGCTATGAGATATCAAAAGATAATATTTCTGGAAATTATATTATTTTTGTGATGCAATATACATCTAAGGGACCTTCGTATAGCAATTTTCATTTTTAGCACAAATGAAATCGAAAAATTAATTTTATTGTAACGCACGCATCTGATTTTCAGATAATTCATTTTTATGAACTTACTTATTGAAAATTGCATAGCGGTAATATTCTACAAATAATTTATATAACTCTTATTATATTACTAATCTGAAACTTCAATATTAATAAGTATAGTATTAAAGACAAAACATCGTAGAATTTTTATAATTTACCGTATATAGCCTCAAAACTTTGACAGAGTTTAATTAATATTTATAAAAGCAAATTTATTAAATTTACTACTTCATGATTTATACAAGTAACTATATTATTCTTTCAATAATAAAATATTTTTTTAATATTAATTGTCAGTTATCATTATATAATAGATGGCCACCTTACAAACCTTGCGTACTATCTTAATTTATATATATTTATATACTATGCATACTCATTTGCAGCACCATTGTTTGATCTTGTGATAAGCTATATTTATTAATTCATTATCTTATTTGTAGTCACAAAAAAAAAAAATCAATAAATGCGTGATTTTCAGTCTAAAAGTAAGACTTATACATCGATCTTTTTGAGTTAATTTTTTTGAGCTAAAACACACTTCAGCTTGAAAAATCTCAAATATGGAGGGCATTAAAATTTTTGTATATCTGGTAGGTTTTTTCTGGTCTTACTTGTTTTAACAATTTTTGAATTTAACTAATAGAAGCTTTGGATGTTACTAGGTCGAATATTCACTAATGCGATTATTATCACATTATTATTATTATTATTATTACTATTATTACCATTATTAATATTATTACCATGATATTATTCCTATTATTATCATTATTCACATGCAGTCTTCTTTCATGTTTTACAATTGATAATTCAGCATTCTATACAAAAAAATAATATGAATCTAGGTAATTATTATTTCATACCAGTTTACTTATTACCTTAAGTGATAGAAATTTAATATTTTATATTATTTGAATGGATTGTATCTCGAAATTTGAAGGATAATCTTTTGTCTTTGCATTGGAATAAAGTTACCAAGAGCAAACTTTTGACATTGAGCATTAAAAGCTCATGATGTAATTGAAGAACTATACATTATTGGTAAAATACAGAATTTGGAACTTGCTGTTAATATTTCTTTTGTTACATATTTTAAACTACCGTTGAACCTTTCTAAACTGATATGCATAGTAAACAAATATTGTGTTGGTATTGAGAGGTTATCAAATATGAAAATATTATTATTATTAGATTTATATGTCAGAAACAGGTTTGGTAGATTAATTATTATCAAATTTGACAAGTATCAGTTTGACTGAATAGGTTCAGCAATATATAGTTATTAATTTTATTTTTAATATATAATTATGTTGTATTTTTATTTCAATTTTATTTATTAAATATCTTTTACATTAATAAAGTAATTATCATGATATTAAATTGATTTATCCTATCATAATTGATTATTTTAATTTGATATACCCTTTATGCTATGTGTTGTAGAAGAGCAGATTTGGGTCACTATGACTCTACAACCAAAACTATAAATCATGAAACACAGTAAAAGCTTCTTGTAAGAAGGTATAAAAAATTTGGTTTGAGAACCAAGGGCTCTACTCTTATTAGAATCTTCAGGTTAGATGGTTTTTATTAATTATGACTCTTATCTATTTTTCACTATTTCAAGTACATGAAATTGATGGGTTTATATATATTGTAAATAGCATTGAAATATTGCTACTACAATTTAGATCTTACAAGCAATAAGATTATTTAGAGTATCAGAGGGAGAATCTATAGCTAACAATTAGTGATACACACGACTATAACCATTTGAATATCAGAGGTGCCTTACGATTGTTCTCAATGAAGCTTCGAGTCATATGGCTTTGGGTCATATTTTTTTAAGTTATATTTCCTATTATAGCATAAATTTATTTTGTATGTGATGTCCGAGGAACCATATAAATACTTATGAAAATCTGTTAAATATCAGATCCCCCTAAATTTGGAAATGCTAAAAAATGTATAATTATAGACATTTTATCTAATTAAAATTGGTGTTGAGAATGATGAATATAGTGTATTCACTGTTTCAAAATTAGGTAATCCATTAATATGTATCAGTTGATGATTTTAAAATGGTCGATTGAATAAAATACACTTGTCAATAACATACAGCATTAATTCTGTTTGATATCAGAATGGAATTGGAGTTACGAAGAAAGCTATTATACCTGTTAAATATTAGAAATATTAATAGAATAAATGATATTGGATATTATTGTCTAAATGGACTAAAGTGCTAAATAAATACTGCTGAACCTCCCAAAACCAATATGTATGATAGACAGGTATTGTATCATTATTAGGAGGTTATCAGATTTGAACATACTGTTGAGTCTCCTAAAACCAATATGCATAGTGGACAGATGTTGTGTCATTATTGAGAGGTTATCAGATTTGAAAGCATTATAAACTATTAGATTTACTGTTAAACCTCTAAAGATGATCCTGTTAAAATCGATAACTTGTCAAATCTGAAAAAAATTTATCTACCAAGTCTGTTTCTGCTATATAAATATAAATCTAATTGTTTATAATGTTTTCAGATCTAATAACCTCTCAATAATGATACAAAATCTGTCCATCATGCATATTGGTTTTAGAAGGTTCAACAGTATATAGCAAAAATAGACTTAGATAAATTTTTATCAGACTTGACAGGTTAACGATTTTAGCAGAATCGATTTTGGGATGCTCAACAGTATGTATTGTAATGATTAGATTTATATATCAGAAAGGGCTTTGCGAATTAATTTTTATTATATTTGACAGGTTATTGGTTTTAACAAGATCGGTTTTAGAGATATTTAAATTATATTAAAATCATATAATAATTATATTTTTAATATACAATAAACTTATATTTTATTTTTAATTATATCTATTAAAATCTTTTATTAATAAATTAATTAGATAATAAATATATTAAAGTTTTATATTAATTATATTTTTAATATATAATAAATTCAAAATATTTATAATATTATTTTTTTATTTTTATTTTGAATTTATCATATTATTATAATATTATTTAATTATATTTTGATTATATTTTTATTAGATTAACAACAGATTATTTTATACATAAAATTAAATTATATTTATATAATAAATATATTATTAGTAATGAAGTTACAAGAGAGTTAACAGAAAGACAAAACATATAATTATCATATGTTTAATATATATTTATAATGTATTTATTATATAATTATTTAGATCATATAATAATAATATAGTTGATATATTATAGATATATTGTAAATATATTTAGCAAAAAATATAGGTTTCTGTAAAGAACCTTTCTGTTATCAAACCTTTTATAACACTACTATTACACATAATGCTCTTTTTCTCCATAATAGATCTTCTTCTGAAAATTTCCAAACCAAATTTGTACTTCACTTAGACTTCTACAGACTTTTGCATTTAAATATTCTAAAAACTGCTTCTAGTAGAACTTGAACTAAAGACCTTAATTGTGGGTTATATCAAGAAATTTTAAAGCCTAATTATAATTAGTTATAAAACAGTTAATCAATTATAATTGATTGGCTTTAAGCGATTATAATGACGGTGGTGTTAATAATTAATTCATATCAAAATTGATAATAATTGTTAATGATAAAAATTAATATAATCTAAAAGATTATAATTGATAGCAATGATTTATATCAATTATGATCAATAAAAATCTAATCGATTTTAATTGACAGTAGTGGTAAAAATTATTTAAAATCCTTAAATTTAATTGATTATAATTTAATTTTAAATTTATCTAATCTAGATGCTTATACCACTAAGCTATAAGGCCCTAACTCTGGTGATAGATTTTAGCAACATGAATAGATAAAATAT